GGGGGGAGGGGGACAGTGGGGAGGGGGTAGGGAAAGAAAAAATCCCCTGTTCTATTTGGTGGGATCAAGGACGTTTTGACATGGTTTGCCGAAGCAGTCAGCTTTAATTCACATCCATCTTAGTGGTTTACACTGACAAAATCGGTCAATGCAATCCCGGGGAGAGTCCTATATATAGGGATGCTCGTCGGAAATTTTGGAAATGACCCCGAGGTACACGTACACGATTCTTGTCCAGTTGGGCGTGGCTTCTAATGACTTTTACCCCTAAAAGGCACATATATTATCTATGATCTAAGTAAAATAAAGAAGTCAGATAATAAACCGAAAATAAATAATCTGATCTTACAACTGCCATTCTGACTGTCAGTCATTTAATCTCAGGTATCTTATTGCTTCAAAAACGACCTAAGAATTACTATATGGTCGCTTCCAAATTGAAATCTGGAAATCTAAAGGTACGACGAGCATCCCCGTTCTTTTACAATCGGGAATATGATGCAATATCTATTTAAAAGTCCGTTTTTAGCCGTCTTGGAAAATTAATAAAACCGATAAAACCGCATAGTACTGCGGGCCGGATACTCGAGATCTGATAGAGTAACGCTGATATTTGATGAGCGCGACTTAACTGAAACAGTCAGTCATACCATAATAAAAGTTGGTAAGAATTATGAAAGTCATCTTTAAAGAATTTATAATACGTACATTGTGGATGTAAGACTAGAAACTGGATACTCGGCCGGATACTCGAGATCTGATAGAGTAACGCTGATATTTGATGAGCGCGACTTAACTGAAACAGTCAGTCATACCATAATAAAAGTTGGTAAGAATTATGAAAGTCATCTTTAAAGAATTTATAATACGTACATTGTGGATGTAAGACTAGAAACTGGTACCCCACTTCCTGATATCTTACACGCTACCGCAGATGAGCTTCAAGAACGTCGTCAATGCTTGAAGTGCTGTAAAAATATTTACGAAAAAAAAAAAAGTTTTCTTTAGCTAATTAAACATTACTAATAAAGCTCTTACGGTCGAAGTTACATGATATCAAATTAATAAGTTCGTATTCCCAATAATGATAGCACGTACATCCCGCAGACCATAATACTCTTCCATGGACCGCGTGATGCTCAAAACCCTTAGTATTCGATCATTCTGCATAGTTATTCATTATTAGCTAGACCATTATGTATCATATCGGTAATCATTCGGATCGCGTATATGACAGATTCCTGACCGCAAGCTGTGGTGACCTCAAAATATGCTTCCAAAACATCAAATGCAGCCATCTCAAGTCTAGGCCTTGATACTGACTAGGAACTAACTATGGCGGATATTATCAACGCTATTAAGGCGAATGACGTGTTCGAACTGAACAGATTATTGTCCCAACCGGTGAGTTTAGGAAGTTTGGTATTACTTTAAGCAAGTGGGAACCTTGTTTTGGTGTGACTCGGTTCGCGGGTGGGTTGAGTGTACTCGTTTAATTCAATCGGTCACGGCAATGCAGACTTCACTGCAAACTTTCCAATTCTACGCTTTAGGAAGATCAATTGTAACGAAGGCGATAGCCCAACATTGATAAGACATATTTTGAAAAAAGAAATCTCCTCTGTTTTTGACGGCGGGAAGGGCAAAATCGCGTCTATCGTGTTATAAAAAAATATTCCTCGAGATTCAAAAGCTTTCATGAATTGAATTGAGTCTATTTCCAACGGAAGATTCGCCAACTTTTGTAGCTTTCTCATGTATAACCTATTCAATTACTTGACTTACACTTAGGGTGCGAGATTTACATAAAATAAAATAAAGTCATAAGTTTGTAAAATAAGCTCCTTTTTAGAATGACAAACATTAATAAACTTCAAGTTCAAAATGATCAAGTTTTCTTACGATAAATTAAACGTCAATTTGAGCCCAGTTCTTCTGGAATTTTTTTAAAGTGTTAGTTTATCCAGTTTTGTAATATGAATAGAACATTCAAGAGCCATGGTGAGTAGAATTCATTTTGTGAACTTTTTAATTGATAAATAATGGACTTTTCTTTTGCCTCAGGGTCGCTACGTCAACACGCCAGTCGGTGGTGGACGGCCACCTCTCCACATCGCAGTACAACGAAACAGGAAGAACATTGCGGGAATCTTGGTTTCAAGAGGAGCAGACGTTAACGTAAGAAAAACAAAGAAACGTTTGCATGAATGTTCATTTAAAGTTTTTTTTAAGCAAATAGACTTTGATTAGCTTTCAATTGGTTAACAATTCAATTGTAAGGAATTGTAAACATGGTTACTTGAGTTTCAAATCAAGGAAAAAAGTCGAAATTCATTCTGGAAACATTTGCAAACGTTACAAAGAAATACAAGATTAGAAACACTTTCCGAGAAAGAAATTTAATTTCAAAATAAAGACAAGTGATCCATGTGTTTATTGTCATTCTTTTCGCTTTACAAAACAAGTTGACTTAAATATGAACAAAGTTGGTATCACTCAGGTTGAAGTGGCAGCTAATTTGTTTGCTTAAATCAATGAAAGTGTATCTTTTGCAATTTTATCTCTTGCATCTGTTGCGCGCTATTTCAGAGATGATTTAACCTTCCATTAGGAAGTAGATTTTTAAGCCTTTCTAGATAAATAAACGTTGGCTCGCCTGTGTATTAAAAGCTTTAAACTCAAGTCAAAACAAAGTCTTTCAACCATTCCATCTTTTGTGAAGAAGCCGTTATTTTTAGTATGAAACAAAAGCGATGCATAGCGATTTATCATCATTTGTTTATTAATTTTTTGTTAATCTGTGAAGCACAATGGGTGGATTAATTTGCGTTGTGCGTGTGTTTGCGTGGATCAAAGTAGACGCTTGATTGATACTTGAAATAATGATTGGACAAACAAACCTCAAGAATAATGCCCATCCAACCAGGATGCCATATTATGATTTGAACACACACCGTTACGAACACAACACGGCAAATCCGTATCGTGTGTTTTCTAGAATGAACGAGCAAAAATACACGGATTCACGGACGGATGAAGTGAATCGAATAGTCCCCTTCACAGTTCCCTGCCCTATCTTGAAAGGTAGCCGTGCCTTTGCATCGAAGCGAGACGAACGGTGAGCTTGCAATGATAGAGACATTGGACAATTATTCACATGTCTCTATCATTGCAAGCTCAACGTTCGTCTCGCTTCGATGCAAAGGCATGGCTACCTTTCAAGATGGCGCAGGGAACTGTGAAGGGGACTATTGAAACCTTTAGTAAACAACACGGGTTTT